GAGCCAGGAGCTGCTGCCCCCAGCCTGTAAGTCACCCGTTCTGCTAAACAGTGGTTCCCACTTTGTGCCTGGGTCTAGGTGCTCTGATCAAAAGGCAGGGATCTGAGCTGTTTGGGAGCTGTGGCATAGGTCAGGTTCAGCATAAATAACATTAGGCAAAGATCTCTAGAAGCAGTGCTTTAGCAAGGGTGGCCTTGATGCTTTCTTGTTCCATCCCCCATTGCACTCCTGGAAAGGCACTGAGGAGCTCCTGCATGTGAACTCGTGTCTCTTAACCTTTGGGCTCACTCATTTACTGACATTAGGGGTGTAGCACTTGCCTCCTTCTATAGCCTTGAATCAGAACATGGATCCAGCCCACCCAGGTAATATCTCAGGAGCAGTTTTGAGCTCTGAAGGGCTTTGGTCATAAAAGGCAAGGATAACAGCAGCAGATGTTTGTGTGTTTTCTTGTTTGTGGTTTCCTTGCTGCCTCTCATATGCAGCCCCTGGTCTGTAATAACTGCTATTGCGGGTGTTTTTGTGGAAACAAATCACCTGCTTTCATCTGGAGAGCAACAGTGATTGTGCTGGGGGAGCATGATCTATTTTTCATGTCTCAGTCTTTCTTATTATTTAAATTAATGTGAGTTGCAGTTGTCATGAAGTGAAGGATTGACGGCAATTAACTAGAACAGCCTCGATGCAAGCTGTTTCTGCACAAGCCTGTTCTACCTAGCTCTGTCACTATATCTTTCTTGGGACTTAAAAACTCCCACACGAGCTCTGACCTTGTACCCCTCCTACCCTGCAGCCCTGCCAGTCCAGGGCACCCTACAGTATCTCTGCCCTTGTCTCGCTCCTGCCTTGCAGCTCTCCTCTTCCAATGTGAGTTTCTCTCATGGAGAATGGCTGGTTACTTTGGGATTTGTTATTTGCTGTCAGTGACGTGGAAGATGAGATGCTGGGCTGGCATCAGCCTTGTCCTGTAGATGTGAGATGTATAAGAAACAAATATGTGAGTTTTAAGACATTCTTCTCAGTGTTCATTCCCATCTCTCCAGAATCAGTCCCTGGTGTGGGTGGGGCATCCTCCCTCTCTGGGGATGGAGGAGTGGGGTACGGCAGTGTGCTTCTTTTCATGTCTGGCTCTGCTCCCCACCCCAACCAGGGACATCCTAAGCACATTGTAATGGATACTCCATATGATTTACACTGAAAGAGCAGAAAAAACATGGCAATCTTATCTTTTTTAGCAGTTATTAAGACCCTGGCAGTGCTTTCCCATGGTCCTTGGAGCCACAGGGGTCCAGCAGCAACCTGGTTTCCCCTGAAGTAAAAAGCTGTTAGTCAAAATATGAAAATGCCTGTAAGTGCTGTTGAACTATAGTACTTGCCCTGTTGTGGGGCTGCAGCCTGTGGGTTTGCCTCTGCTAACAGTTCAGAGAGGCCAGTCACAAAAGAATTTTCCACTTGAGGGTCAACAGGAGATGGCTGGGCAAATGGAGGCTGTGACACCCAGAAGATTCTGGTCCCAGGAGATTTTATTCTCAGCAATCCTTCTTTCAGCAGTCTGGGACCTGTGAAAACATAATACAACCCACACATGGGGAAAAATAATAAGGTCAAAGCTTCTCATTTTAAGGTTGTCCTAAAAAGGTGTGCGCAAAATAATGACAAGTGCCAAGGAGGCAATGCTAACTGTTGCTGGTGCTGACAGTTTTGGCATTTTAACATGCTGGCTTGACGCCCTGAAAATTAAAAGTCTCTGACTTTTTATCTGAGTGAAATTATTGTCCACTGGCTTTGGATTCTAAACAGATGAAGCCAAGCCAGATTTTAAATTTAGAGGGAAATTATTTCCTGCCCTATTCCCCCTTGTCTTAGCCTTTCCTTGCCTTCTGACCAAGGTGGCAGCTGAAAGGAACCAGCCATTATATTCCTAACTAGATTTCAGCCTTGGATGTCCTTTTCAACCTCATCTAAAAAAGTGGCAAGACAGATATGACCATCTGGACACATGCTCTTCCTCTTGGGCATTCAGTAGGCATGGTCAAAACTGCTTGTACTGGCTGAGTTTAGTTGATCCTCTGTGAGGTAAAATGTCTTTGACGGCTTTGGAGAGCGGCAGTTTATACCCATCCCAGCTGGAGCTCTGCTGCTGCCCTGTAGTGGCTTTTGCTGCTCCCTCCTCAGCCATTTTGGCTGGCATTTCACCATTCTATCAGGACTTCATACTGGCCCATAGCTTTACCTGCTAGTCCTGCTTCAGTTTAGTCCTTCCCGGTTTGCTGCATGGCTTTTTTACCTTATGCAAATGTTAACCCCTTGAAGTTCAATAATATTCCCAAAATGTGGTATAGCCACTGGTTTTACTTCTGGGCTCTCCTTATGCAGGTTTGCCAATGCACCATGGAGAGTTGTGTTGAGGATGATCCAAAGTCACTGTCCTTGTGTCCCCTGACAGAACCCCACAACTTTTGCAGAAATAGCAGCCTCTAATGTTTTTTTCCCAGACTAAGCCCCTCTGTCCTCTCCTGTGCATGTTGGTCTTCTGTCAGGTCTGAGGTGGCCCTCCAAGTTGCTTTGTTCCCAGTAAGTAAGAGTAGCAGTTTGGATTTTGGCACCAGAACTTTCAGGGCTCTGCCAGCCTGCATATCTGCTGGCTGGAGCAATGAGCAGGTCTGTCCTGAGCCATGGGACAGGATGTTCCTCTCATCCACTGGAAAAGAAAGGAAGTGAGTTTTCCAGGGATAAGTTTCCATCCCCTCTCTGAGAAGCCCTTTTTGAAAGTAAAAGCTTTTCCCTTATTTTGAGTCAGAATTTTCCCTACATTGTAGCTCATGTTAGCTGCTCTTCAGTGTTCACTGTGCACCTCTGAGAAAAGCCTGCCTCTGTCTTTTCTGTGCATTCCCACTCACTTTTTGTAGAGAGCAATAAGATCTCCCTCAGCCTTCTCTTTTTCAGACTGAACAGGCACATCTCTCTTAGGTTCTCCCATCTTGGGAGCCTTGCAGTGGACTTGCTCCAGTGTGTCTATGGCCTTCTTGTCCTGGGAGCCCAAAACTGATCTAATGCCTGAGATGCTGTCTAATAAGCACCATGTAAAGGGTTTTAGACACTTCCTTCCACTTGGGGGATTATACTCTTGCTAATGCAACCCAGGACACTTGGTCTTTACTGCATGGGCATACTGCTAACTCATGCTGAACCTGTAGGACCCCCACGTGTAACTGCTTGAGCCTAGCACTTTCCTCCCTTCCAGAAAATATCAAAGTGGTTGGTCCCTAAAGAGGGGCTGTTATTGTGAGGCTTATTCGACCTGTCTAAAGAAGTATTGCCTCTTCTTAATGAAGTAGTTGGTAACAAACACCAAGGAACAGGGGTGGCACTGTGATATCCTCTGATCTTTACATCTGAGCTAGTTCACCATTCAGAGCTGGGTACATGCCAGCCAGTGATTTCCATTTCTTTTCCTCTCCTTTCCCACCTATCTTTCTTAGAAAGTCCGTATCTGAGTTACAGGCCAGTCCTAAGAACTGTCTCACCCAGCTCTGTCCTCCCAATGGTTTTTCACACACATCCCACTGTGAATCTGTGTGAACATCTGATTCCTGCTGTTTTTCCACCATGCTACTTGCACTGGTGCACAGGCATTTGAGGTGGGCCCCCAGCTGTCCTGCTTTCACAAGGCGTGCAAAAGCATTTCCCATTGTGTTGCCCCCTGGCTGCTCCCTCACTGCCCTCTGCGTTGTCACTTCTCCACAGATCATGGCAATCCTTCCCCAGTGCACCTGGCTTAAATCCCTCCTTGCCTGGGTGAGTGAGCCTGTTGGAAAATAGATGTCTGCCTCACTTTGCTCAACAGGTTCTCTTCCTCAAGGGGGTCCCATAGCCATAGATACTCAAACGTTGTCCGTGAGTTTGGGGCCTACAGAGGGGGGCTAATGAGCTGTGGGTCGTAAACAACATTCCTGTGAATCCAGCAACACAGCTGGAAGTAGGGAGTTGCTCTCTTCAGGCTTCATTTCCTTTTCCCCACCTAGCTTATAGGCAGTGTTGCCTCAAAAGGACCATCAGCCACTCCTGCCAGACAGGGGGAAAGGGGAAGCTGCTGTCTGTTTACTCTGTGGTAAGCAGAGCAGAAAATGTTGTTGTTTCATTCATTGCTACACACAAATTTGGAAGCTGAAAATATATTTAAAAAAAAAAAAAACAACAAAAAACCAAAAACCTAGAGGATTCCTTTTTAGTAAAAATCCCTCACCACCTGACATGGGGTGTGAAGCATGGAAGCAAGACATGGGTGTAAGAGAGGAAAGACTGCAATAGCTGGCACACTCCATACCTGGAAGTGCCTGTTCAGGTCCCAGTTCATGGCCGCTCTGGTGCCATGACACAAACTCAGCTTGGAAAGTTTTTAAGGATCTTGAATGTCCAAGTCATGGCTGATCTTGTGAATCTTAAATATTCTACTGTGCCTTTGGTACTCTGCCATGTGTGGTGCAGTCATCCAGAAGCTGCATACTGCAAGTAACCTATGGGGGATCACTCTTGGCTGAGAGGTATACCAATAAACCAATAACTAATACACCCTTTGAGTCAGTGCCTTGAAGTGTGGCATCCTGCAGGAGGATGTAGAACGCCATCTGGGACTCCCTGGAGTGTAAAAATTAGCTGGGATGATACTTAAAGCCTGCTGATCCCTTCCACACAGTCTTAAGGTAGGCAGGCAAGTTCTGAGACGTCATTTTATGAAGACCCTCAAACATGTCCAAACACAAAGCATTGCAGTTGCAGCACAGGCCATTTTTAGCTGTAGACCCTTGAAATACAGTCTACACACCAGTACATACCACTCTGATGTAATTTCAGAAACCCAGCTAGTAGTGAGAGGGGTGCAGTCTGTGAGGTGAGTTTGTGACTGGCTCTGATTAATAGGTAGGTAGATGATTAAGCCAGGCAAGCTGCCCTCCATAATTCTGCTTGTAACAAGGTCAAACTTTCTTTTGTCTTCACAGTTCCACCAAAGATCTCCAATATCTCCTCGGACATCACCGTAAATGAGGGCAGCAATGTGACCCTGGTTTGCATGGCAAATGGGCGTCCTGAGCCTGTCATCACCTGGAGGCACCTCACTCCTACAGGTAAGAAATCCAACTGGATTAGATTTGAGAACTGTACAGTTGTTCCCTTCTCTTCCAGCGTCAAAGAAAATTTCAGTAGCAATATAGGCAGCTATAGAAAAGTGGCAAGAATCTTAAATGTACTTCAAGCTTGTTTTGCAGTGTGAATTCCCAGACACAATAACCAGGTTTTCCAAGTGAACAAATGAAATTACTTGAATAGATGCTCTGCAGAATTGGGCCAGTAATTCTATTTAGCTTAGGTCTTCATCTAGTTGTCCCAGTCTCTACTGCTGGTAATGCACAGCACAGTGGAGATGAAATGCTGCTGGTGCTAGACTGAGGGAAAAGGATTTCTGTTGAGACACTGCATAAAAGAGGTTCTTTCTGAAAACCATGGGATTTGCTTCCTACTGATTTGCCTTAAAAGGGAGAGGCAAACAGTGGCCCAGTTTATTTCATACTGCTCTCCACTTTGGCAGACAGCCAGAAGCCTTGTGTCTTCTGATGAGTAAAGAAGGCAATTGATCTTCAAGGTGAGTGAAGAGCAGGATAGTAACAGACTAAAAGAGAACTTGCCATCTTTGTTCTGCTATCTGACTGTGCCCTCCATGCTCAAGGATGTGGCAAAGTTGGGAGGAGAATGTCTTTTTAGTAGCCAGACTCTGTGGGGTTAGCAGCTTGGGTTGCAAGGAAATCTTCAACCCCTAAAGATTTAACTGCAGGATGAGAACAAGAGGTAGGTTTCTATCCTTCCATATCACATTCTTGGAGGAGAGAAAAACTCTTTAGCTGATTTCTTTTCCTAACAGATATTCTTTAATGTAAAATGCATGGGGAAAACATTGATTAGCCCCATATGAATGATCTTGTGTGATACTCCCGTATATGTAAGGGGTTAAAGAGGACTTGAGGAAGGCAGAGAACAAACATTCTGCATGTGCTACAGATAGTCCAGCTTTCTGCTGCAGTTCAGCAGCCAGAGAAGGGCAGAAAAGTGAACCAGAAAGTGTTGCAGAAAGAAAGTTGGAGAAAGAAAGGTAGAATGACACATTAGAACAAAGCTTATTCTAAGGGCTACATCCAGAACCACCTGGATTGGAGCCTGTGGTTGAGATTGGGGTTACTTAGATTTCCTGTCTTGTCTCTTCAGCCAAACCAAAGTTCTCCTGAGCTTTCATGTATATGAAAGCTAGATATGCAGTCTGTATTTCTGGCTCATTTCTTGCAATGCCAAGAAAAAAAGATGGGGAAAGCCTGCCACGAAGAGGTGAGAGCAGGGCTGATTAGGGGAACACTAGTCCTCTGAGGTATTATCGTCATATAATACCTCTGAGGTATTATACCTGACTTTTCTCTTCTGGTTTTTTATTTTCAGAATTAAGTATGACTGTGCCATTTACATTCATAGGAGAAGAGAACTTATTTTTTTCATCTTTAATTATGTATATAGAATCTTCTAGCTCCTGTATTTCTGTTCTTAAGGTTTACTTCATATCAAATCTTCCATATTACTGCTGCATCAGTCTTTCAGTTCTCTTTCTTGTACCCAACTAAAAGATACTCCCTAGCTACTCTGTGAGCACAGCCTAAAACTGAGTTAAGGGTGTTAAATCTTCATGAAATCTAAGACCTGGTACACATGAGATGCTTTCTTCAGAGCAGTGAGAAGATTCTTGTCTTGACTCATCATTTTGGCTGTTGCTGCTTTGTGGGAGTTTTTTTTTTTTTCCTTTTTTACAAAAGTCTCCACAGAAAAAGTCCTCACTCTGGCTATCCCCTCTGGTTAGTAACAGAACTGAAGAATCCCATCCCTACTGTGACCATGGGGACAGATTTCTTGGCTCTGTTTTTCAGTTTTCCAGTATGTTCCTTCATATTTTTTCTCCCGTGCTGTGTGTTTCAGAGTTGTTGCCTTGTTAGCATCCCTCAGCACCATCTCACTGACTCCTTTCCAATCCCTCCTCAGTCCTCCTCCCTACAGTGAAGCCTGCCAAGCACCTCCTGTGTAACAAACTAGAGGTTATGATGAAGGGCAGGCAGTCCTCAGTCTGTCACCTCCATGTGTTACTGATTGTGGTTCTTTCTTTTTCCCCATCTGAACCCATCTGCTGTCTTTTACAGATACAGAGGAACTGCTTTCAGGCAGACATCAGGTCTTTGAGCAGCATAAAGCCCAGTAAGACACTTGCCTCAAAATGGGAGACAGAAGGGCTTCTTTTAAATGTTTTCCTTGAGGTTGACAATTAATATAAATTCCAAATACCTTCCAGAGCTGCTGCAGTTGGAAACATGTCTTATCTTGGAATCTCCCTTTTCCAGAACTGCAAGGCATTTTGGCTCCATTTATGTGAGTTTTGAAGACATCTGCTATGCATCAAAGAGCTATTTTAGATCATTGTAAAGGTTTCTAAAATATATTTCTCTCCTTCAATTTTTTTCATGGTTAGACTTGTTACTGCAGAACTGGAAGGAAGAGTGTTATTGAGCTTGTGTGGGAGGTTTTGAATGGCCAGGTAGTGGAATTAAACCCGTATCAGGGGCGAGAGGGCCAAATTACTTTGTGCACTCTCCTCAAAGAGTTCATTAGCAACTTTGTCTCCTGTTTCTTTCATTCATTTACTTCATCAGTGTAGTTTGTTGGCTAATTACCTGAGTTAGGACCACAGAAATGATTGAATTCTTGTTGGCTGGGAAGTGGAAGATACAAATGCAAAGAGAAGGCAGTGTTGGTACTTAGGCAGAGAAGGTAGGGATGCATGTGATAGTTCATTTAAATGCTGCAATCATAGCTTACTTATCTGTCTATTTGGGAAGTTTAAAAAATTGATTTATAAATTGCTATGTTGCTTCCTGTTCTGGTTCTTCAGTGAGCAGTTGAACCAGACATTTTTCTCACTTCAAGTGAGAAAGTACTATAACTCCTGATGCCCTCAAGCAGCCCACAGGAAAAAAACCTCTCCTAACCCTGTGAGAAAGCTGAAGTGTGACTGAGGTTTACGACTGTAGCACTGACGCCTGAGAGGAAGGCAGGTAAGGGGAATAATACTTTAATAATTCAATGGCAAATGACAATACAGATCAGCTTTAATTTGATGAAAGCAGAAATGACATTTCTTGGAATAATGCAAGTCCTTGCTCTCCTCTTACATTCCTCTTCAGATGATTGGCAGATTGTATTTTGACAGAGCAAGTGGAGAGAGTCACCGAGACCCTTTTCTTTTTCACCTGAGAGGCCATTGTTCTGTAGGACATTGGAAATCTGGTCTGAGTAGTTGTGGATAATTTAACAGGCATTGTCTGATAGCACAAACAGCTTCATTAGCTCTTCTCCTCCAGCCAGCAGAGCTCTTTTCTGGGATCACTGACCTGCACCTTCCAGCAGCAAGCCAGCACATCCCTCCCTGCACATAGTCTGATCCGTTTCCTGTGATTCAGGACACAGCTGCAGGCTTGTTAAGCCTGCCATACCTGATGACTTTTGCCACCCTGGTTTGTGATGGTAAGACATAGCAAAGGCCATAAAACTGAAGATCTGAACTGGATTTGTCAGGAAATTGTGATGAGTTAGAGTGGGGGTGAGTATTGATGATGTCCTATGCAGTCTGCATGAATTAGCAGTTGTCAGGGTTAGGAATACTTCACTAGGGAACACTCCATAGTCTCATCTCTTGAAACAGACAAAACCCAGATTCTTTCTACCAAGAGTGGGCAATACCCTATTGTTTTATTCTCCTTAATATTATCTCATAACCTGCCTAATCCATGCCCCACAAAGGTATAGATTGTTTTTTGTCACTGAATGCAATAACCTCAAATATCCCAGAGCTGCACCTGCACAGGACCTTTCATCACTTATCACACTGATATGGTCTGTGAGGGGTACCACAGGCAGCCTACCCATCTGTGGGTAGTTGTGTTAGAAGGAGCTCTCTTTTCCCTGTACCTTGCACCAGGATAACAACCAACACAGTCAAGAAAATACTCCAGTAAAATAGGTCAGAGATGGTAGCCTATGCCTGCTTTCAAGCCCATCTTAGTTTTACTCAGTGTCTCTACTGACTTATCTTTATTCAGGCTAATGTGTCTTCTCCCTACCTGTAAGCTGCTGAGATCACAGTCCAGAGTATAATTTATCATTTCTCATCTCTATGTCTTATTCAGACCCAAGCTAGGTGCCTGGTTGACTGAAAAAGAGCTTTCTGGGAAGAAGAAAAATTAATGTACATTCATATCCTTACCAATAAACTCTCAAGGGAAGCCCTAAAGAGTGGCCTCTTGTGAATTAGGTTTGCAGCAATATGAACATGAACAGTTGTTTGTTACAAGGTCTCTGAATTACCAGAGATTTCACTGCCAATCGTTTTGCTGTGCATGGGCAGGCAAATTCAGAAGAAAAAGCCATCTCCTGTGTTGAGAAGCTTGTAGTTGAGGTCACAAGAGCAGTACCATTCGTGTTTCTGCTTCTTTGCCACAAAGCATCAGTGACTGAAACCTTCCCAAGGGCCTTGCTCGTGGGTGCTTTGGCAAGTGCCTTTAGCACCCGTGCTGATGGCAGCCTGAGAGCTGGAGACAGGGAGACAAATCTGTATTGACTAAAGTTGAGGGCTTGAGTTACCAGCTGAGGAACAAGCAATTCCCTTCTCCTTGAGAAGCTACAGAGTAGGAAACATGTATTAAGCTACTAGGTATCCCATTCTGGATCCAACTTCCTTGGCCTCAGCCCAGCACGGCCACTTGATGGAGAATAAAACACTCTGGATTCTTCCAAATTCCACCTGACAGTCTAAAGAAACCCACTTTGGCTCAGAAAAAGAGCTTAGTTGTTACAGTGGTAATCACAGCATAAGAAGAACCAGTCTAGTGCAAAGCAGATAAGTATTGATTGCAACACCCAAGTTTCATGTCACAGCATAAAATGAAAGGAGATGAGAAGGCTTGTCAAATATGCCAGTCTGATTCTCCCTAGAGGGTGCTAGAAATTCACATTGAGTCTTAGAGAATTTACCGTAGCCTGGGAA